TATATATATATATATATATATATATATATATATATATATATATATATATAATATATATATATATATATATATATATATATATATATATATATATATATATATATATATATATATATATATATATATATGTATGGTACGACCATAGAGTGTTATCTTACGACCATAGAGTTTTATATTACAACTGGATAATACCATAGAGTTTTATCTTACGACCATATATTCTGTACGTTTGTTTACTTACGTTTAATACTTTAATTTTAAATAGCGCGTATGTGGTTTTGTTTTGAGATATTTTATCACCTCGATAATTGCATATTATAATTATTAAAAACTACATATAATTGAGTTTATTAAATAAAACATGGCGGACATGCAATTTCCATCCTTGCTGTCCAAACTGACGGACCCACTTTGGTTTCAAGTTGAGAAACCTGGGGACGAGGATTCCGAACTTACGAAACTGGAAGATGAACAAAGAGAGTCGGTAAGCTCATTTAAATGTTATTATAAATTTGTCTTCTTTTCATTTCACCATCATATGAATTTGATAATAGATAATTTGAGATAGCACTCTGACTGCTCATTAATAAGACTATACTAGGCCAGGGCATAGAAGATTATTTTACTTTTAGTTTTACTATATATTATTATATAATTATCTGCAAAGTGTAGAGGAACTGACTGCCCACAACCCATTTATACTAGTTTTTAATATTAGTTTTGTTTGGTTTTTGTTAAGTAATCTGTTAGTGTTAGGTTAATTAGTAATTTAGTTAGATGAATTTCATGTTGGCTTTTTTGCAATATTCTGATTGTCTTAGTTATCATATAGTAAATAAATAATTATAATACAATACTACATTTTTCATACATTTACATTTCAACTTTTGAGGAGGTTAAATATTTTTATCAAAATTAATCGTTGTTTTCAGTTGCAGGCCATCATTGATAAGTACAACAGTGTGGCACCAATTGGAAAACCATCCACAGTACTTTATTTTATTAACTTTAACTTTAATTCACTTTTTAAATTTTACAAGTTTTGAAATGATAAAAATCATTAATAATAACTGGAGTAATGTTGACAAATTTATCAGGCCACTCCAGAGGAAGCAGACGATCAGGATGATGATGTTGATGGTGATGACATGAGTGAAAGTGACAATGAAGATGAGTTGGACACCGACATGATCGAAGAAAGAGAATCTGGTGATGAGGTAATATAATCGTGTAAGCCTCACTTTAATGAATAAGATTAGTAACATTCAAATGTCTAAATGTCTGACTTGTGTATTCATTTATAATTTATTCATTGGTGCTTGGACAACCAATGCCTTAGTACTTGCATACAGGTAAACTGATCATTAATAATAAATTATATTAACATTAGCTTAAGAGTAATCAAACTTACATCACCACCTAACAAATGTTTAATGTTCAATAAAGTTGAAAAATGTAATGGGAACATTTACCCATAAAATTTGTTTCAGTTCTACAGCTGAAAACATACTTGAAATTTCAATTTTCAGAGTACAGCAGTTTGACAGAAAAATCAAAACAACATCTGCCTCACATTTTTGTACTTTATTTCTACATATTCTAAAAAAAATAGGAAAAAAAACAATTGCGTTATATATTTTTGTACATTTGTCTAATTTACGTTCAAAAGCGTCTTGTTTTGCGTTTGCATGCCATTGTCCAGTTCACATGTCAATATCCTGCTAGCAGGCTTCCACTTCTGGATTTGGATCTTTCCTGTGTGCCACCCAGGATTTGAAGACATCTCTGAAATTTTTCACAATGATTTTTTATTACAAATTGTTCCAAATTATTGTTAACGAATTAACGAGAATTATTATTAAAAATGAACAAACGAGACTTGTTGAGTTGTGATTGTTATCGTATTGTTGTAAATCTTTGATTCTCGTAACTACCAACATCGATGTTATAACTTCAAAGATCTCTATATTCCAACACCCTGTTGTAGCTTCCAACGATCGTCAAGTTATCGTTATTCAGTAGGTTCAAGATTTCCGATAGATGAACAAAACTGCTTCAAGCGTAAACTATTTCGGACGTTTGTTTGAATGCCAATAGTAATAGAAACACCAAACTAACCACAATTACAACTTCGTTTCAAATCTCGCTAGTATACCAGATATTTTCACAATCCAAAGGTTACAAATAATCATGATAATAATTGGCTGAAATTGATCATACAGCGCAGTCTAAAATTCCCGCGGTTTTTTCAAATTGTTTAAGTTCTTTAAGAGCCCAGTAAGATATCAATAAATAGCGTTCATAAATGACTAAATAAATAACAAGAAACGTAAAAAAAATGTAAAAAATTCAATACTAAGAATAAATTAACATATAAATTAAAAAAGATGCACAGACTTAAAGAAATATGATACATGGGCGTCAAAACTTAATGATAGGTAAATGTGAAAATATAATCCATAACAGGTAGCTAGACGATGGATGGATGGTTAGATGCATGGATGGATAGTTAGTTAAATGAAAATGAATAAATGAAATGGATGAGCTAATGAATCTCAGAAAAAAAAAGATTTTCAGAGACTGACTTGCAGTGGCTGACGACGCACTGTGTACTGCAGTAGTCCAAGTTCCACCTCGTGTCATTGATTGCCCTGTTCGAACACCCCTCTCTCACGCACATTGGTTGGTTCGCTGGCCTCGACTGCCGAATGGATGGGCAAGTTGGAAATAGGTTGGTTGGATAGTTGAATGGATGGATAATTAGTTGAAATAGAAAATTGATGGACGAATAAAATTAAATTAAATTAAAGATTGATGGATGGATAATAATAAGATGGATAGATGAATGTTCGAGTGCATGGATTAAGTGAAATAGATATAAGATTGGTTTGTATTGTTTGTTGTAAATGTCTATTTAGGGTTCTATTTTTTTGTCATATTTTAGATTTACACAGGATCTTTATCTAAAGAAAGCCTTTTAATGTTGTCACTATCATTCAAAGAAACAAAAATTATTTTTATAATTTTAAAATTATTAATCATAACAATTATTAAAGTCTTCAAATTATAGTAAATTTTAATAAACAGACCTGAACCATTTCAGTTGAGGATGCAGACGGTTTTTTCCTCTCCTTTGGCTTCTTTGTCTGCAATTTATCATTCATCTTTCCTGAATCATTTGACATTTTCTACAAAAAATTGGAAAAAAATACATTTAACTATTATTTTTTTTTTCAGTATGTTTAAGTTTTTTTATAATTGAAATAACGCAAGAACAAAAAAAAATCATTGGAAATTTATTTACATGTAAAATCATATTGATAGAGGTTTGTTGTATGAAATGTATTGGAGAGCAGTATTAAGAGGTCAATAATTTGAAAAAATCAAAAAATCATTCAACTGTAACAATAAAAAAATAAAGATCGTGCAACAACAACAACAATAAAGTGCAATGATACAATAAATAATATAAATAATACATTAAACACAGCACATCAACTGTCTAATTTCAATCACATCACACCAATCACATCACATTAACAAATCAATCACCTTTCTCTCCTTTCTGGCTTTCAGTTTTTCAAGATCAGCCAACTTCTCATAGTACTGATCAGTGATTTTGTGTTACAAAAAGTTAGTAGATTGATATAAGAAAATGTCTATCACAGATTTCACATTCAACAGCCAGCTTGATCATCGTTCAATCCAAGAAGAAACAAACAAAAAAAAAACAAAAAGAAAAAAGAAACAAATGAAGCATACATAGGCCAAGAAAAGAATGGCGACCTCTGTGATATCAACATTTTATTTTTATATCTTCCAAACCCAGACACTCATTAATTTAAACAGCTAAGTCCGGAAGATACAAAAAAAATTAGAAAATCGTGAGGCTGTCGTGCCTTGATATAGATACAGACAGTGGCTGATCTAGGAGGGGCAGTGCCTCCCGTTGAGAGCAGTTATTGTATTAAAAGTCAGAAAAGTCATTGTTTTAACCAAAAAGTTGTTTAGGATCCGCCACTAGATACAGGTAGAATTTTGCATATAAACTTGCTTAGAGAACATACTTGCTTATGTTTGTCCTCCAGTTCATCCCACATTTTGGCAACAACATGCGCAACCTCACTGAATGTTACATCAGGTTTCTGTTCCTCTATGGCTGCCTGCGTGTCTCTGAAGAACAATCCATAACTGGAAATTGGCCTGTTTGTTTGTAAATATGTGTTTGTGTGCTCGATTTTGTACGTTTATATGTCAGTTTATGTTTTTTATGTTGTTGTATATGTTTGAGTGATTTACGTTGTTGCAAATTTGGTAGTTGTGAACAATGTGATAAATGCATGTTTTGTTTGTTTATTTGTTTTTTCAATAAAAATGTTTTATTGATTGATCCAGAAAGAAGTTTACGCTCGAATTCTTACAATTCAGCATAAAAATTAAATACAGTGCTAAAATATTTGAAAATAGTTGTAGATGAGTGGATATATTCTTGGAAAAGTGAGAATAAATTATGAAAAAGATGTGAAATGTTTAAAATAAAAAATGAATAATATGGAAAATAGTTGACTTAGTCTGCTTGTTTCTGATCTTTAACTTTTTCTCATCCTGTTTAACGGGGGCAGGCTCCTCTTCGCACTCCTCCTCCTCCTCCTCCTCCTCCACCTCGACAGAATCATATGAATTATTTACAGGGTTGTACCTTTTTAGACTTTCATATGACTGTGAATTAAATGTTCAATAATTTAATTCAAATTTGATATTTGAATTATATAAATTTAAATAAACTGAAATGATGTGCAGACTGCGACCTATGAAAGTATGCAAATTTTTAGATGACCATTTCTTACTGAAAAGAAAGAAGTTATGAGAGTTTCAAATAGGAGGAAAAAAATCAAAAGTAAAAAAGTAATTTTGACATACTGGAGAAAAGTCACTAACAACAGTGGTTTCTTCATTTTCGTTATCATCCCCGTCAGCTGAATCTCTGCCAGGTGAGCAAGACATCCACAATGTGCTTTCTTCCTGTGTGTCTCCAATGACCTCCTCAACCTCATTCAAGAAAAAATCTGGATCAGGTTCATAGTCAACTTCACAACCGTTGTTGTCGTTGTGGTCGTCGTTCGAGATGATCTGCTGTAGCACTTGCTCTGTTGTATATACTTTTGCACTTTTTTGTAGTAGTTGGTGTTGTTGTTTTGGTTGCTGGATTAGTTGATGCTGTTGCTGAAAGTGTTGTGGTTGATTGACTTGTTGAAACTGCACTTGAACTGGCTGGGTCTGACTTTGAAATTGAAGAAATTGATTACTAAATGTCTGTTGAGGTTGTTGCTGAAACACCATCTGCTGCTGTTGTTGGACTGTAAATTCGTGTTGTTGTGTCGGTTGTGATGCTATGATGAATTGTTGCTGGAACTGTTGCCGAGGTTGCTGCTGCTGCTGCTGTTGTTGATGAAGGATCATTTGTGTAGGTTGTCTGTTCGACTGCATGGCTGGCTGATTCAATGTAGTAGTACCTCTCATAAACGTCTGAATTCAATTTTTAGTAAAAATTAAATTAATTTTACAAATCCATAACAATTTAAATTTTATTACAATGTTATAAATTTTGAAATTTTAATTTAAAAAAGTTTTATTTAAAAAAGTTCAAAATTATGAAAATGTGATAAATATAAAAATAGAACAACTTCAAAAATTGAAGTCCTTCCAGCAGAACCAGACATATCCAGTCTGAAATTTATGAAAATCAAACAAGTTAAAGTTTGTTGAATTATTATCTATTATTGAGTTAATTAAATTTTAAGTAAATGTTTTCTAAATGTAAAAGTAAAGTAAACTAGTAGAGTCTCTAAAACTCTAACAACTAATTACTAAGAAGTAGTAAAAAAAGTAATTAGTAAACATATATATTAATATTGACTTAGTGTCTTAGTCTTAAAGACTTTAAACTTATATATATATATATATATATTATTGTTGATTTATATAAAAATAAAATAAAATTTATAAAATAAAGTAAAATTTATAAAATAAACTTAAAAATATTTTATTTTCAAATTGTTGATGGTTAAGTTTAAGTTAAATGTTAAAAGTTGACTGATGGATGAAAAAAACAAATTTAATATTACACACCTGAAAATGGACAACAAATCCGAAAAGCTTAACTTAGAATTTGTCAAACTAAACAATTAGAAATCAAAACAAAACAAAAACTAAATTAAGACGTACAAAAATTAAACCAAATATACAATCGCCAACAATATAATGAACGAATAGAGAACCAAAACAAACGTTAGATAAGCTCGATATAAGGCAATCGTTTTCTTACACGCAACTTTAATCGCGGATGCTAATAAAAATGACGTCACTCTATGCCATATATATATATATATTATATCCATGCTCCGCTCGCATCGATAAACGAGGTCACCAAAATTTTTATCATTGTAAATAATGATTAAAATATGTAAATTAATAGGTATACACAAATGGTAAGTGTGTGTGAATTTCGTAATGTTTGTGTGTGTCTGTTTATTTATTTGTCTGTATGTGCCTGTTTGTAAAAATGTATATCCGGCGCATTTAAGCGTTCGGAGAGGACCGAGGGCCATATCCCCCTCCCGTTGTCAGCAGTGTTGTTATTAAAAGCCAGTAAAACTCAGTTTTTTGGCAGGAATATTTATCATTTTTGGTCTTTAGACAGGAATAGATATCAATATGAACTACGCACTATTTTTAATTAAATTTAATTAAAATAATTAGATTATTTTTAAGAATGTAAAATCAAGCTGGTAGTTTTTTTTACAAAATTTATGTAGTAGGTATTCAATTTTCTTAACATAAAAATGTATAATTTGGTAATCAAAATCTTTATTTTTTTATATATAGTATCTTGAATCGCTTGAATCGACCGAACAGGTATCATTATGTTTTACTATAGTTCGATTTTTTTAAATGTGGCGGTAATATAGTAAATCAGGCTGGTGGTCTTATATTAGATTTATGTAGTACTTTAGTTCCACAGCATGAAAATATATAATTTGGTAATCGAAATCCCGTCGTTTTTGATATATAATATCTTGAATCGAGAGAATCGTTATCATTGTATATTACCTAAGTTCAATTTTTTGAAATGCTGGGATAATATAATGAATTCAGTTGGTAGCTTCTTACTGGATTCGTGTTGTACTCAATCTTCCGAGCATGGAAATGTATAGTTTGATAATGGAACTTTCTACCTCCTTCTCCTTATCTAACTACTTCTCTATCATTTACGAGGTTCAAAGTGGACGTCAGGACCAATCTCTTTGTAAGATTCATTGAGGATCGCTGTTGAACATCGCGGAAATAGCGTTTTGAAAAACAAATTGATTGACTAGTTGTTTATAATTCACACATTTTTATTAACAATTGATTGTTTTTGGCAGCTCCATGGTGTTTTCGGTGTTGTTTAAGGAGTTAAATTAACTTTTAGCGTTAGGTAATTTTGTGCTGAGTCAAAACAAGCTCTGCTTATAAAAGTTTCTTGTATTTCGCCAAACTTGACGATTATGGACGGTAATTTAATAAAAGAAACTGAAAAATATTTTAAGTTCTATAATCAGCATCACAAACAAATGCGTCAGTGGTTTTACAATCATGAAAAGCTTCTCTCCCAGCTTAATTACAGCAGTAACATTAATTTTAGTAGCATTTCTTCATCAAATTCAAATGTAGGTAATAATAACAGCAGTCAACCATCTTCTAATCAAGATTCTGAAAACATCAAACAAAGAAATAGATCTCAAGCCTATTTGCTGAGAAAAAAAGCCAAAAAGAAGAAAAAACGGAAACAAAACCAGATGGAACGTAGGAAACTTAATGAAAGTCTCAGCAGTAGTAACCCTTTGACAGAAAATGATGATGGCGACGACGATGAGGAATATGAGATGCATATAAGTGAAGAGATGAGGCAGTTTTTTGAAATATCAGCAAAACATAGAGAAGAAAGAGGTGATTTTTACACCAAATCCATTTTAAAACATAATTTAATATTTCAATTAAATTAATTAATTTCTATGATAAAATATTTAAATAACTCAAAATTTTGCTAATTTCTACTAGATAAAGTGCCAAAAAGTCAACATCATCACCAAAAACTGGAGACAGACACTGAAAATAATGACAAATCTCAAAGCAATGAGCCTCCTGACACAGAATTAGCGGATGACACAGACCTGATAGAAAAACCAGGTGAAGCAAGGATGAAAGAAATGAAGGAGTTGTATGGCAAAGGAGCAGCCAAGATATATGCCATGGAGACTGCTATGCAGTTAACCTTTGATCGAAACTTTGACCAAAAACTTCCAAAATTTTGGCCAGCTTTACCTCTAAACCTCAAATTTGATTGATGTATTTTTGTATTATATTTTAATTAAACAACAGTAGTGTTGTGTTTAAGTGTAAAATTCAATTTATAACAAGAAATAACAAGTAAAATCAGATTACTTGACAAACATTTGTTAAAACAGTACTAAAGGGAGAACAAATGAAAGCAATTTACGATTTGCATACTCGTGTCAAATTGTCTATTAGTGACAAGGATTAAGATTTTTGCAATTGTAATCCGCAATATAATAAAATATAATGATGTTAAAGCAGGCATCAATCAAGCAGTTGCTTGTGCAGAGTGTTGCACAGACAGTGATCTGGAGATGTAGTTCCAGTACTCAACTCTAATCGTATCATTTTCGATGAGGGTGTCGCACAGCTGCAGAGCTTTTTTCAAGAGTTCTTCCTTGTTGGCTGAAGCTTCCTTTAATGCATCTTCAAGGCATTCCACCATAAATCCCAGTAAGTAGAACGACCTGTATAAGTAACATTTATTCTTATTAAAATATACTGGCTTTTCTTCTTACACTAGTAAGGATGCATATTTTCTAGATTTATTCATAGAAAATTTATTATATTGCTAAAAATAATTTTATTAAATTGTAGCACATAGTTTACATATCAGTAATAGTTGACCTGATATTATCTTTGTAGAGTTTATCACAGAACTCCATAATTTGGGAAAATTCAAATTTGCCCTTGTCTGACAATATTCCTCTCAAATAATTCCATGGACTTTCATTGTGAGGTACTTTAAGAATTTGCTGTGTTGTGTACTCCAGCTCCCTAAATCAAAATATTAATTTTAGCCTGATTTAATGAATTTCCATCATAATAACGTATGCTGTGAATTCAAACATTAACTCAACTCAACCCATAACCTATGCACAATCTGAGAAGGCAAATAATGCAAAAGATTGCTCATGCCAAAAGTATGAATTTGCATAAATTGGTAAAGTACAAATAAATGAACAGGATTTTAAAACATCAGATTCGTGCTATTTAAACTCGCCATCCTCACATACAAGTTATTACATAATACATCTCAACCATCATATCTTCATCAACTTATATCTCGTTCATCAACTCGTCAACTTCGTTTGTCTTCATATATTCAGTTGCATCAACCTGTCAGCAATTCATCAGTTGTCAACAAATGTTTTACACACAATTCTTCTTTCAAATGGAATGGTTTAAATCTAGTTGAACGTCAATTATCAAATTCAACCTCTGTACAACTTCATCTGTGAAACCAGTTGTATGAGCAATGACAAAGTATCTTTGGTTCCATGCAGAATTGTTTCTCACATCATTTTTTATTAGCTTACTGACAAATTCTAATTCATTTTCCCATAAATTGAATTTTGTTAAAATCCACTGCCTTGAGGATTAAAATTAAAATGAAGACTGAATTAAAACTTTATAAATGTTTGATCACTGATTATATTAAAGTAATTAAATGAATGGAATAAAGTAAACACCTGTGTTGCCATGCGTGGTAGTTCTTTGCATCATCTTTTAAAATTTTCTCAATAAATTTCAATTCCTTTGAGGCATCATTTAACCATAACACAATTACACTGCGATGATACCAAACCTTGATTTGCAATTTTAAAAAATAACTATATTTTTGTTAAAATGAATAATAATTAATGGCCTGCCCAACTAAGTTACCACTAAGCTATCTTCTATAAGTATAATACAAAAATAATGTAGAAACTAAAAAAAACAAATTAAGTAAATAAACCAAACTAATCGTTCATAACCTTTTTTTATTTTATTACATATTTAATATTTATAATTTATTTTATATAATAATAATTGCATATGCAATTGCATACTACTAGGACAAAAAATAGAAACCTGATAATTTTTTGGGTGCTCTTCAATTATTTCAGAAATGTAGTCCAACTCCTCATTGAGATCTTTATTCAATTCTTTGAGGAGCAGGCGTCGATGCCTCCACACTGTGTAGTTCGCCGGATTCTGACCTGCGGCGTCGGTCGTTAAGTCAAACGCACGCTCTGATATTTCACCAGATTTTAAAATTGCGCGGAAATAATCAAAAACATCTTTAAACTTGTCGGAATAGGCAATCTGGACCACGGTAAAGGGACCATCATCCTGGGAAACTGGGGTGACATCCTTCCATTCCTGCCTTTCTCTATAAAACACGTACGGATCTTCCGCAGAATCCAATTGATCCATCGTGCCTTCTTCAGCCATGTTAATTGTATCAATTCAATTTAACTCAACGTTCATAAGAGGAATAATCAAATTTCAGAGATGTTCGTTCATTTCAAAGTTGTTATTAAAGAAGAACTTACAAATTTAAATTTATTTTGTAAAAAATTTTAAATGAGCCAAATTTTTTTCATCAATAAAACTAATAAGTTCAAAATATTAAACAAAAATTCAATATTTAAAACACTTTATCGAATACTGAACATTAGTCAAGCGCGCGGAAAAGTTTCATTATAAAATTGCGATTTTGGCAAATGATGATTGACTTTTTTGTAAGAAGTAAAGTAAAATTATACAGACATAATTTGTGCAATTAATGTAATGGAACATGCTGATGTAATCTTTTAATGTTTTAATGGATGTCTATTATTTAAAGTACAACAACCTTAGTTACAGTCCAACTTTGTTTGTCAGTCCTACTGATGGCACTGCTTTGGAATTTTATCTGTCGCCACATAAACATAAGTCTGACGTCAGAGCTCTCATTGAAGTAGAATTTGAGAGTTTAAATTTCATCAAATTTACCCATTTTTATTTAATTTTAATAATTTATTTTATATCAATATAAAATGGAATCATATTTAATACTTTGAATTAATAAGTATGATAAGTTAAGTAAGTTTAATTTTTAATGTAATTTCATTGTATTGTGTCCAGTAATTATTTATTTATATAAAAACAGAAGGGTGGTGGAAAAGTGAACAACAGCCAGGAGAGCATAAAGTAGGATATGGAAATTTGGATGTGAAACTATCTTACTTTTCTCAATTTTAAAAGAATTTGTCTCTTGTATATTAAAAAAAAATAGTTTGTTGTTTGTCGGATTAATCTGACCATATCATTTTGTGTATCAGTGCATACTTTTTGGTATATATATTACATTTTTTTGTATGTTGTATATTGTTTTGTATATCGTTCGTTATATTATTCTTTTGCATATATATCAAAACTTTTTTGTATGTATCATTCATTTGTATCTAATTATGTAACTTTTTATTTATCTTGAAAATAATTTTGTCTAATAGGTTACTCTATCCTGATTGCACAGCTCAAAGTAATGGCCTCGTCTCACTTCACTTCATCTTGGATTCAATTGAGAAAAACAGTTTGCAGGACATTAATAGTTATTAGTATTGATATGTTTTATTTTCCTCTTTTTGTTTATTCATTTCATCAAAATTACAATTATTATGTTTAGTTCCGCTGTTCTTTTTATAAAAATGTGATTTTTTTGTGATTGTTCTTTTGTTTGAAATCTAATTTAGTAAAACCAAACATAGTGTAAAGTTAAAGTCATTAAATACTGGTAATTTTTATTTCATTTATTTATGCATGTGAATTTTTGTTTTTTTTTTCATTTTTGAAAATTTTAAAGGTAATTTTTTCAATTCAACAGTGTTCAATTGAAGCATGCTTTCTTTGATGAGCCGCCGAATAAGAAAATTAAATTGTCTTCAAATCTGCCATCTGATAGGTATCATTGATGAATGAACACCACTTTTCAAGTTCATTTTTGTGAAAAATCTTTACAAAAATTTTCCACTTAGTAGGAACAAGTTCTCTTCATCGGAAGATGTTGCCATATTGAATTATGTCCTTAAAGATAACAAGTATGTCAATGCCGGTGGTAACATCATTTGGCAAAAGGCTGAGGAATTAAAGGTCTGGAAATATTTTCCATCCAGATTTCAGTTGCTTAATTCAATTTGTTAATGTTTACAGATCACAGACCACCCTTGGCAGTCTATGAAAGACCGCTTCCGACGTTACATTTTGAATAACTTGAATTCATACCACACTGTTGAGCGGGAATTGAGGATCTTATTAGCCAAGCACTTCAGCATTAGTGTAAAAATTGAAAAACCACCAAAGCCTCTTTATTTCCTTCCAGGTAACAGCGGAAAATCATGTTCAACAAAACAGTCTATTGAGGCTAGTAGTGATGCAGAGAAGAAATCAGATTCCAGAAGGCAGTCGTCAAAGAATAATGAAACCACATGCCATATCAAATACATTGATTACGACGGCAATCCACCTTGTAGCAGCAAATCAATGAATAGAATTGATTGATTTACCTCATTCCTTTCTTTGTAAATACGCTGGAGAAACACGCAGCACCTCTCTATTTTTATTAACTTAACGCTACTCGGTCACTGATGTTTTCGTATTTGTAAGACCAGCGTACATGCTCAACAATTTCATTTTTTTTTATCTTATATGTTTGATTTTTTTTATTTTGGAGATGCATTGACGTTTCATGTTTTCCACTTATTTGTAAACTAGTTTTCTCTATCGGCCTTGTAAAACTGTCGATATTTTTCTAGAAACTTATAATTCACAGTTTCAATTTCGCTACTGTTATGAACAGTTCATGAGGTAATAAATGTTTAGAATGAATGTGTTGGAGGTCGAGACGTGTTTGAAGCGTGGATACTATATCCATGGTTTGAAGCTTTGATAATTCATACCGCGCGCGTTTTTATTAACAGCTTAAAATTAAGCGCAGCACTATTTATGTCCAACTTTGTTATCTATGTTCATCGTATATACATATATATACAACCCGATATGCTTAATATACAAGCTATCTATATTCTGAAAATCTGTGCTCGATTCGCCTTTCAGTTCTTTTGTTTGTTATTGATCATGGGCGACGATAATAAAGATTCAAAGCTTAGCGACAGGAGAGAATTTGTTTTTAGGACCGTCGGGAGAGGTTTAAAGCCGCTGAACTTAAAAAATGCAGAATTACCTGAAATCTATTACCGTACAAAAGTATTTTTTTTTTAAATTTCTTTTTTTTTATATTTGATAATACGTTCCTCTGCATATTATCTAACTAATAATTAGAATAACATTAGAAATAGTTACTAATTCTAATATTATTCATCTCAGTAATCAGTAATAATAGTAATTTAGTAATGTTAATTACAAATTGAAATAATAAATTTTAAATTTAATTTAGTTAATAGAAAAGTATGAACATCAACGATCGAGTTTGGGGTATAACTCAGGCACTTCTTCCATTGTTAAAGTTAGTTTGTAATTTTTTATTATCATAACTGACTTATTGTTCATTTTTATTTAAATTACTTATCTTTTCATGTATAATGCATTTATCATTTTATTTATAATTTTATATTATTATGTCATTAACTTATTTTTTGTTTGCCTGTCTTATCATCATAATTCATAAACATTAAGAAAGTTTAATCATTAAACTGCAGCATAATCTTTGTCTGGTTCATCTGCTATTGTAATTACATTAATATTCAATTTGAATAAAATTTTTAAACTAACATTAAACAAATATTTTAATTTTATTTTCCAGGCATTTGAAGATTCCAAAAAGTATAAGTGATGTATACAACATGTCTTAGTCTTAGATGATTTATTTATTTATGATTATTTATTTATTTTTATATTTATTTCTTTTCATCATCACAATAACTGTTGTTTACTTTTTCTATAGTTCTTTTAATCATTTTATTTTTGAACTACTTCCATATTAAGCTGTTTACAAATGTAAACCTAAATAAAAACAATAAAAATGTTAATAATTAGGTGAATAATAATAAAATATTCATACAATAACGATTTATAAAACTGTTTTGTTGAAAGAATTTAAATAAAAATTTTAAATGAAAAACGATTTATTTTTTCACGACAGTACTTTTGTTTCAAATTTTGGCGATGTTATAATATTTGTAATAATAATAATTGTAGTAATAAATATTAAACATTGTAAATTTTATTTATTAGAAAATGAATTTTCTTGAAAAGTCTTAAGAAGGAACGGAGAATTTTGACAAAAATTTTTCTTCACAATTTTGATTTGTTTAATTGACACATTTGCAACAAAGCAACTACACTATTTTTAATACATGTATGAATTAACTTTTCAAAATAAACAATGACAGATGATGTTATTATTTAATACTAATGCTAATAATGTTGTAATTAACAATTTGTAAAGTTACAAACAAGCTTACGATGATTCTTGAATTGAGCATGCAACTAAAATGATATCGAAAGAAAAATTTTTTTACATCACATAAAATAATTTTATATTTTCTTAAAAGTAGAATTTTTGAGTTAAAATGCCACAAAGAGAATGTTACGTAAATGCAGTTGAAACATTTCAATCAAACATTCTTCATTTTTTCATCATATCTAAAAATATTGGCTCAATAACTATGTATATTAACTAAATATTACTAACAATAAATCAAATGACAATGAATGTTCGTTAACAACTTTACTCAAATTTTTATAAGTAAAGATTAATAAAATGCAAATATTAATATTAAAACAACTTAAATCAGCTGTATGAAAAAAATTTTGAGAAGGATCATAACTTTTATAAATTTTCACATTTTATAACAAATTAACGAATGACAAATAAATAGTATTTCATGACAATTAAGTAAAAATATTCTAAGCATAAAAAATATATACCCTTATATATAATTATTTATTTTGTTATATTTTACTTTAATTTATAATTATATAAACTTATTATCAACAATACACAATCTTATTAAGTTGTATTATAATCATTATTATCCACCTTGAAAAAGCCTATCCAATGAACAAACAGAACGTGGTTAAATTCGTATAACACGCATAATATAGAGAATATTTTTTATCAATTATTATTTTTATTATTAATTATAAAAATTATTAATTAGTACTGAAAATTTAAAAAAAGTCAACGTCACAAAAAAATCCAATACGGTTAGGACGGCATTTCTGGTCTTGTTTTAACAACAATGATAATAATGATAACAAAAACAATAATAACAGCAATAATAATAATAACAACAACAATAATAATAATAGCAATAAAAACTATGATAACATTAATGATAAAGACAATGATAATGTTTTTCGATGAGAAAAAAACATGGATGCCAACGCTCAGCTAAATTATGGAAACTAATTGGATAAGTAATGATGATGACGACAATGAAATGACAACATTAATGATAATGATGATAACAATAATGATGACAATAAATTACATTAAACCTAAACAGCTATTTATTTGAAGTTAAAAAGAAAAGCTCAACTTGATTAGGAATATGCTACTAGAAAAAATAAAGTTACATTACTTTTATAGGTTGTGAACAGTTTTTTAAAAATTATATAAAAATGGTAAAAATACTACTGTGAAATAGACAATGACATTTATGAACAACGAATAAAAACGCATGCGCACACACACACATACAAACAAATATTCACATAAACATATAAGCCTTCTAACAAAAAAGACATTGAAACATCTAAGAGATAAATTAAGATGTACAATATATACACTGAAATTATATATATAAATACAAATATGCGTGTGAGTGAGTGAGTGTGTGTTAAATACATACAAATTAAATACACGACTAAAATGAATTTACCGACAAAGCTAATAAATAATATTTATATAGGTATTTCCACCAATTCGAAAAAAAATTAAATGAAAATTAAGACAAAAAACTGTTTAAAAAATAGATCATATAATAAAGATGCCAATAGCTACTGATTGATGTACACAATGATATCCAGGAAGAACGTCTCCACGAACAACTCTTTTGATATTTGCATTTTCTTCATCATACGAATATAAATTACACGGTCTTGAAACAAATTTCAAATCACAAAAAATAATAAAATTAAAAAGAGATATACAAACAAAATATAAAAAACGCAACTTAAGAGAAAAATCTTGTTCAAATTGCTTGAATCATGGTCGTCGAAAATTTAAATAAATAAAATTGAAACGTCTCGTTAACAAAAATTCAACAATTAAACGAACAAACAAAGAAAGAAGGAACCACACAACACACACACACACATACATACGAACAAACTACATGATACACAGACATGCATACATAATCTACGCTATCAAAATCACGCTTGAAGATCATAAGAATTGAACTGACACAAAGCGATAATTATGATATAATGAATGAACAAATTCGTAGAAATGTAATGCGAAAAAAAAGTTTAGTAGTAAGAAAATTACAATGTTAAAAAAAGTTTTTAGCAATTAAATATATTACATACGTAGAGGTTTACAGACATTTATAAAACATTTGAAAGCGAAACTCACATTAATTGGCTGCTCCAAAAATTGAATTGAAATAATGTTACGTGAGGTTTTGTTTTTATAGAAAGATAGATTGTCATCATAATTTTAAATGAAATGATTTACAAATCAACAAATTTTTGCAAAAGCACTATTCACAAATTTAATCACAATCGAAAAATTAACTCAAAATTTGAAAGATTAGTAAAATTTAAGCTTATGAGTTCCATTAAAATCATCAAACAGCAGGAAAAGATCCGTAGAAAAAAAAATTAAACATAATTCATAATAATTATAAGGTTACAATATAATAACGATACTCCACATCCATCTAGCTAGTTAATGAAACTGCACGCACACACACGCACAAAAAAGATGAAGATGAGCAGCTCAGTTACAATGGAGTCTCTCTCTTCAACAGCAAACCCTTCGGCCTGCTGACAGATCTCGTGGCAGGAACAGATGGAGAATGAGATGTGGAGTCGAGTGTGATCGATGAGGATGCAGACGAGAAACATGGATTCGTCACGATACCATTTCTCTTCTTCTGCTGAAACTCCGGCGAACTCATTTCATTCAACAAATAGTTTCTGTCACCGGCATGGCAGCTGTTTGTGATGTCATTGTGAGTCATGGCCGGTGAGAATTGTGGGAAAGTAAGCGAGCGAGGATTTTGTTTCTGCCAGACGTTCTCAATGATCATCTCGTCGTGGTGGTACGATTGAGTCGTCGAGCCTATCTTGTCCAAACTGTTTCTCTTATCTCTAGGTCCAATCTTTTCGCAACTGTCGCCATCGTTGATGATGACGTCACAGGGAGATGCCTTGCAGCTGTTCACCTCACTCATCGGCGATGAAATGGTCAGCTGTCCAGTGATGTTGTGACTGTGGTGGTGATGGTGGCTGCTGTTGTGGACTGACGAGGATGAGTGGCGATGGGCGAGTGGAGAGGAAGAAGATGCAGATGACATCGGCTTGGGAGT